CAATTTAAAAAAAAACCATAAAAACAAATCCCTACCTACCTACCCTAACTTTTTATTGATGTAACTGGAACTACACATTCTATTTTATTTGGCCTCATTTATGAAACTTTATATATAATAAGGACAAACTATGTAGACGTGCATATCGACAGGAAATGGCCGCCATGGCTAAAAATAGAACATAGGGATAAAATGTAGATTTTGGCTTATATCTCTGAAACCAAAGCATTGAGAGCAAATCTGACAGGGTAAAAATCATTATTAGCTCAAGATCTATCTGCCCTGAAATTTTCAGATGAATCGGACAACCCGTTGTTAGGTTGCTGCCCCTGAATTAGTAATTTTAAGGAAATTTTGCCGTATTTGGTTATTGTCTTGAATATTATTATAGATAGAGATAAACTGTAAACAGCAATAATGTTCAGCAAAGTAAGTTCTACAAATAAGTCAACATGACCAAAATGGTCAGTTGACCCCTTAAGGAGTTATTGCTCTTTTATAGTCAATTTTTAACAATTTTTCGTAAATTTTTGTTATCTTTTACAAAAATCTTCTCCTCTGAAACTACTAGGATGAATTTAACTAAAGTTGTAAACAATCATCATTAGGGTATGTAGTTTAAAAATTGTGTCTGATGACCCCGCCCTCAAACCAAGATGGCCTACATGGCTAATAATAGTACATAGAGTAAAATGCAGTTTTTGGCTCATATATCTAAACCCAAAGCATTTCTAGCAAATCTTTCAAAAATCCAAAATTGTTCATTAGGTCAAGATCTATCTGCCCTTAAATTTTCAGACCATTCAGGCAACCCGTTGTTGGGTTGCTGCCCCTGAATTGGTAATTTTTAGAAATTTTTTCAGCTTTTGGTTATTATCTTGAATATTATTATAGATAGAGATAAACTGTAAAGAGCAATAATGTACAGCAAAGTAAGACCTACAAATAAGTCACATGACCAAAATGGTCAATTGACCCCTTAAGGAGTTATTGCCCTTTATAATAAATTTTTAACAATTTTCATAAATTTTGTAAATTTTTACAAAATAATTTCAACTGAAACTACAGGGCCAAGTTCATTATAGATAGAGATAATTGTAAGCATCAAGAATGTTCAGTAAAGTAAGATCTACAAACAAATCACCATCACCAAAACACAATTTTGTCATGAATCCATCTGTGTCCTTTGTTTAATATGCACATAGACCAAGGTGAGCGACACAGGCTCTTTAGAGCCTCTAGTTTATAGGAGTTATGCCCCTTCGCTTTGAACTTAACATTTTTGCCATAATATACTAAACAGTAGTTTGTCATCCAGCTCCTTTGAAACCACACAATCAAGAGATCAAGACTTTAAGTGTGTGTTGTTCAGCAGATCATGATTTTTTAGTACATATCTAGGAAATCCTAGTTGTGTATAGAATGATTGTAAAGTGTACATGTCCAACTGGCAGGTGTCATCTGACTATGACCTCATTTTCATGGTTTAGTGGTGAAAGTTAAGAGTTTGTGTTTTGATCTGTTTTTTATACGACCGCAAAAATTAAAAATTTTTTGGTCGTATATTGGTATCACGTTGTCGTCGTCCGAAGACAGATGGTTTCCGGATAATAACTTTAGTATAAGTAAATAGGAATCAATAAAATTTTAACACAAGGTTTATAACCACAAAAGAAAGGTTGGGATTGATTTTGGGGGTTATGGTCCCAAAGGTTCAGGAATTAGGGGCCAAAAAAGGGCCTAAATAAGCATTTTTGCAGTTTCCAGACAATAACTTGTGTTTAAGTGTATGAATCTCTCTGAAATTATACAAAAGTTTCCATACAACAAAGGGATGGTTATGGGAGGTTACGGCTCAAACCTTTTAGCAATTAGGGGCAAAAAAAAGGGGGGAAAACAAGGGTTTTTATGGTTAAAGGACAATTTAGACAATTTAAAAGCAGTGTAAGGGAGGTTATCCAATCCATTCAAAGAATACTGTTGTATATATGTTTGATTACCTTCCTTACACTGCTTGTAAATTATGTATTAAGTAATGATGATTGACTTGAGATGATTAGCTGTAAATTTATTTTTAGAAGTTACTATTAATTAATATTAATTTTAATCATGATTGTATGTCATTTTATATTTTGATATTTTATGATGTATTTAAATGAGTAGTTATGGTTGCAAACTCCATTAGAAATTTGAATTGAGATTATTTTTGGAATAAGGGAAAGGGGGAGTTGAAAAAATTGGGGGGGGGGGGGGGTAAATAAGAATTAGTGGGGGGCTATAATTTTTCTCATTTCAGATTTCAAAAATTAAAAAGAAAGTTTCTTCAAATATTTTTTTTTTGGGGGTGAGGGGATAGGGGGTTAATATCCAACAGCATAGTGTATTGCACAAAAGCAAAAAAAACGGGTAAATTTTTTTTGGGGGGAGGGGGGGGGGGGGCAATTCGCAACAGCATAGTGTATTGCACAAAAGCAAAAAATTGAATATAAATTCAAATCATATAACCAACTTTAAGTTCTTTGACTAGACTTATTCTGTGTCAGAAACCTATTATGTGTCAGAAACCTATCATGTGTCAAATATTTAATTACAATCCAAATTCAGACCTGTATCAAGCGCGAATAATGTGTCCATTTTGGCTGCAACTTTTCAGGGTTGGACATCTGCGCTCGTATCCAGCTGCGCTCAGCAAAGCAATTTATCTTAAACTATAAGCAATAGGTCAACTATATTTGGTGTATTGAATGATTGTAAGGTGTATATATCTGTCTGGCAGGTATCATTTGACGATGACCTCCTTTTTAGCTCATGTGAGCTTATGCCATCACTTGGCTTCCGTCGTCGTCATCTGTCGTCGTAAACTATTTCATGAATCTTCTCCTGTGAAACTTCTGGGCCATATACCTTCAAACTTAAACTGAATGTTCAGTAGGGTATCTAGTTAATAAATTGTGTCCTAAGTTTTGATCCATCAAGAAACATGGTCGCCATGGCTAAAATAGAACATAGAGGTCAAATGCAGTTTTTGGCTTATATCTCAAAAACTAAATCATTGAGAGCAAATCTGACAGGGTAAAAATGTTCAATAGGTCAAGATTACCAGCCCTGAATTTTCCAGACGAATCGAACAACCGATTGTTGGGTTGCTGCAACTAAATTGGTAATTTTAAGGAAATTTTGCAGTTTTTGGATATTATCTTTAATATTATTGAAGATAAAGATAAACTGTAAACAGCAATAATGTTCAGCAAAGTAAGATCTACAAATAAGTTCATATGACCAAAATTGTCAATTGACTCCTTAAGGTGTTATTGCCCTTTAAAGACAGTTTTTCATAATGTGTTCCTCTAGTTTGCTTACTTTAAAAAAATCTTCTCTTTTGAAACGGCTGAATCAATTCAGCCAAACTTGGGCTGAATGGGTTTAGAGTATCTAGTTTAAATTTCTACATTTTATTTCCTTGTTCGTCAAGAAACATAGCCACTATGGCTAAAATTGAACATAGGGATAAAATGCTTTTTTTTTTGCATTTGAAGAAAATATGGCAGATACAAAGAACATTTAAATGGCATTTTTAAGCCACTCATTAATATATATAGAAAAGCAAAAATAATTATTGATGAAAGATTTAAGCAAAAAATTACAGGTGGGCGATTCAGGCTCTTTAGAGCCTCTTGTTATGGTTCATTGGTCAATGTTAAGTTTTCATTGTTAAGTTTTTTTCTAGGATATTTCAAGCAATAGGTCAATTATATTTGGTGTATGGAATGATTGTAAGGTATATGTCTGTCTTGCAGGTATCATCTGACTTTGACCTCATTTTCATGGTTCATTGGTCAATATTAAGTTTTCATGGTTAAGTTTGTTTCTTAGAAACTATAAGCAATATGTCAACTGTATGTTATACATAGATTGCCTTACTGCCTGTAAGGTGTACTTGTCTGTCTTGGATGGTTCATCTGACCTTGACCTCATTATCATCGTTCACTGGTCAATGCTACGTTTTCCTCGTTAAGTTTATTTCTTAGAAACTATAAGCAATAGGTCAATTATATTTCGTGTATGGAATGATTGTGAGGTGTAGATGTACATGATGTATTTTTTGTTTGGTTTATCTGACCTTGACCTCATTTTCTTTTATTATCGTAAGTTTATGTGATACTTGTAGTAAAGCTTTATATTTAGGAGTATCAACATTAAATCAATTTTCTAGGAGTTATGCCTGTGTGAACTTAGAATGTTGGCCTAAATATACTACTGTAAGAGTTTATCATCGCAACTCCTCTGAAACCACACAACAGAATTTCATGAAACTTTGTAGATAGTTAGGACATACTATGTATATGTGCATATGCACAGGAAATTTTTTTCAGTTGATTTTTGTAGGAGTTATGAGTTTTAGGAATCTGGTGAGATTTTGTTTGCCCAGTGACAATTTTGGGGTGTGGGGTATGTGAGCGTGCTCACAAAGGTTCTTTAATTCGAGACAATTGTGCACAGACCCTGGCATCATAGCGAGTTGATTCTTCAAGTATATTTTCATAGCTTCTTTCTGTATTTCTATGTGGGTATTAAAGCGACAACCGAAGCACATTTCGTACTACAAATGTACAAAGGATCAATGCTTTTACAACACTGTAAAATGACAAAAGAAGGATTCAATTTTGATAATGAGATGTTTATGCTACAATCATGATATAGCAGTTCATATCAAGCTTTTCATTAGTTTTCCTATGCATTGTTCTGATGTTCTCAAAGGAAGCACATGCAGTCATGAAAAAATGAATTTTATTGGTAAATAAATAAAATATAATTTTGGAATGTCTCCATGACTGTTGTCTGTCAATCAAAACTTACATGTAATGCAATTGAATATTAAATATTAACATACAGTGAAAACAGGCACACAAAATAGTTATATGTGTATACTTAATTAAATAGAGTAAAGTTATTATATTCTTCTTTATAGAAAAACTCTTTATGAACAAATATTATTGCAGGTGATATGGTTCCAACTGAAATAAAATTAATGGCTGACAAAAGATCTATTGATTTGTACCTCAAATTACTTGAGTCAGGCTCTGAAAAAAAGAGAGACATACGTTTAGTAGTAGTTGGAAAAAAAGGTGCAGGAAAGACATCATTGATTAAAAGATTGTTCTCTGAAGAGAATACAGATGTAACTAGTACAAATGGAATAGAAATCCACACAATAAAATGCAAAGCAAAGGCTGATGATGGCATATGGAATAAATTAGATGGTATGATGTATAAATTTAAACACAAATGTTTCTCTATTCTTAAGAAAGTATTTATAATGTTTTTGTTTTCTAGTTTACATAACTTATTATTCAGCAATATTATTTGATTTTTTAGGGGACTATCTATCAATTTCCAGTTTTCAAAGCATAGGTCTTACAGGATCCAATATTAATTCAAGGATACATTTCAATTATTCCAGGTCAAGAATTTTCATAAATAGTTCATCCAGTCAGAAACTATGTGAAGAGATATTTATGGTACAAGTGTGTATCTGGTACAATAGAAATGGTACCATTAATGTTATAGGCTTTTAAACAGTATCAGAAAAGATGAACAAAATAACTAAAGCTTGGTTTGATTTTGTCAAAATATGACCCCAAAAGTTCATTGTTACATTATTGTTACAACCACATTTGCATCCATATGCATGCGACACATGGTTTGACCTCAGTCAAGATTTTGATTGTGCATGTGCTCATCATGTTCAGTTACGTCATCTCCTTTAACTGGTAACACCTGCCTGATTTAAATTTTGATTAAAAAGATGATGTTGATCATATTTTTATCGATGATATGATATCACACAGAAAAGAGGAATATCATTATAATACTATTTCATTTGATTTTTATATTTATCTATTTAAATTGCCTTTTTGTCACATGCTTTCTTTAGAGCTACTGTTGACGGATAATTATGGGTTTTCCAGTCGTAAAAATGTTGATACTTCATGAAAATTGTTTGCCTTTTCTATTGTTTTCTGTGGACTTTTTGTACTACTGGTATACTTTTAAATATGGTATATACGCGTATAAATCAATTCTGAAAGTTCCAAATCGATACAGTTTATGTGGATTTGGTAGCTAATGCTGTTTTAACATGTGGAGACATTGATATAAAATGTGTCATGATTGCCCATAAGACAGCTTTCCAACAATGACCAAAGGATGAGGGTGTAAACAATTACAACTCACTGTTTGCCTTCAAAATTATATGTTAACCACACCATCTCATGATGATTCTTAATGCATGCTTTTTTGGATTTATTTTGATGAATATCTTAACTTTATTAGCAACATATTAATAATAAGGTATGTGTAGAATATGCATCAAGTTTTGTGGTTTTCGTCAAATCTGTTATATCAATATTACAACCAACTGAAGAAACTCCCTTTTCAATTGTGATAACTGTTCATGAGTATTTTTGTAGAACTAGCTAAGGGTTGGAAAAAAAATTGATGGACAACATTTATTTTGTAACTGTTTATTGCTTATTTTATGATGGATCTTACTTAGTATTTCTTTACTATTATTATAATTTTCTAATGATAGGAACCAATAAAGAAACTGAAATTCATGCAAGACTCTTGAAACAATACAAAGGAACAATTGAAGCATCAGTACAAGAATTAACACATGAAGTTGTTAGGGAAAACACCCTCATAACCATTCTGTACAAGCGTATTGAGGAATCAAAAGAATCAGAGACAGTACGCCAGCAGCCTAAAAAAAGAAAACTTCAAGTAACCACTGAATCTCAAGTTGAACCTCCAGTAACCTCGCAGCAACGAAACCAATCATTAAAACAGGCAAAAATGGATATTGAAACCATGCTTAAATCTAATGTTGATTTACATGACAAAGAGGAGTATGCCACATTATTGCTATGGGATTTTGCAGGAGATGAAGAATTTTACCACACACATCAAACCTTTTTGTCCTCAGGTGCAATTTATCTTGTTGTAACAAAACTCAATGAAGCTGACGACAAAAATGCACAAGGTAACATTTCATAGAGATAAGATAAGTGAGATTTAAAATATTTTATATTTTATTTAACTTTTTCTTAGCTTAAAATGCAAATTGTTGTCAAGAACTATAGATTCCAATTTATGCTCCAAGTAAAGAAGAAAATATGAGAGGCAATCAGTCAATTGGTCCGAGGACACAGTTATCGTCCTTAGATTTTCGTTGTCTACAAATATAGTCCCTAGTGTGGACAGTGTATAACTTGCAAATTTTGTTCATATACTTTCCAAATTTATTTCTTCATATTTTATGCATGAAATATTAAGTTAAGGGATGAAATTACATAAAATTATTAAAAATATTTGGGTGCTGAATCTTTATGTTAAGTAGTGATTTGGTCCAGTTCAAAAAGGTCAAAAACTAGTATGTCTGAAGCTGTCGAACTGAATTTTAGACCCCCTTAACATAGAATTGTCAATATTTTGAGTTAGAGCTGGTAGACTTTTCTATAATTTTGATATTATTTGTCCCAATAGTAGTACACTACACTGTAAAAATCTTTTTGAGATAGAGCAGGTGCGATTTTTTGGAAAGTTTGCTATAGCTTGCTGTAGCAATAAACTTTCCTATGGCATCGGCCTCAAACTGGAAGTTGGACAGACTATCTTACTATAGGATGTGTGTTCTACCCCAAGATAATGTAGTACTAGTGTTTGAATACAAATTAAATAAAGACGCTTTTGAAATTTTTTTGAGTTACTTCTATTTTAATAAGCTTACAGCTTAAATAAAATTAATTAAAAATTGGACTGAAGGTTCACCGACAATTCAAATGGATCCAACTTTATTTTGAAAATGGGTATCACAAAAACTACTTCGCGGATCTGCCCTGCACGGAAGATAAAATCAATACACATCAACACGAGGCAGCAGTTTCTACGTTTAATTAATTGAAAATTAAGAGGGCCTGATATTTATTTCGAGGTGTGTGTTGGTTTTTTTTTTTTTTACATTTATTCATGAAATTAAAGAATTCTTATTGTTAAGAATGTCGTAATCTTTTCAATTTTTACGTTTGCAAATGGTATTAGGTGTGACCTCTATAAATTATGCATACTTTGAACTGTCACTGTTTATGTTATCTGTATGTTTTCCTACGGGAATCCCTAGACATGCTTTTAATCCATTTATGTGAACCCTCCTGACGGGAGTACAATAATCCCGGTGTCACGGGTCTCCCCCGTCCTCCGATCGAAGAGAAAATAAATACCGTGTTTAAAAAATTCTCTTGAATGAACATTTTCTGGCGCCATTTTTACGATATTTACAAATGTTTATTAAAGACGTAAAAGCCCGAGGGTATTGAAAGTATCCTCATATCTCGGCCCATAACAACTCGGCCTATAACATACAATCGGCCTCACAAAATCGGACTATAATTTTTGTATACGACCGCAAAAAAATTTTGTGGTCGTATATTGGTATGACGTTGGCGTCGTCGTCGTCCGAAGACACATTGGTTTTCGCACTCTAACTTTAGTTTAAGTGAATGGATCTCTATGAAATTTTACCATAAGGTTCAATACCACAAAAGGAAGGTGGGGATTAATTTTTAAGGTTATGGTACCAACAGTTTAGGAATTAGGGGCCAAAAATAAGCATTTTTGTAACTTCCAGACTTAACTTGTGTGTTAGTGTATGGATCTCTCTGACATTGTACCACAAGGTTCCATATCAGAAAGGGAATTCTGGGATTGGTTTTGGGGGTAATTGCCTCCAAATTTTAGGAATGAGGGGCCAAAAAGGGGCAAAAAACAAGCATTTTTCTAGTTTCATGACAATAACTTGTGTGTAAGTGTATGGATCTTTCTGAAATTGTACTACAAGGTTCCATATCACAAAGGGAAAGCTGGAATTGAGTTTGGGGGTAATTGCCTAAAACGTTTAGGAATAAGGGGCCAAAAATAAGCATTTTTCTAGTTTCCAGACAACAACTTGTGTTCAAGTGTATGGATCTATCTGAAATTGTACTGCAAGGTACCATACCACAAAGGGAAGGTTGGGATTGAGTTTGGGGGTGATGAATCAAAAAGGGGTTCAAAACATTGGGGGGGGGGGATTTTTTTTTCCTTTTTTTCCATTAAAATTTTCCATTTTAAATTGGTTATTTCTGATTTATATGTAAAGGCAAATAATAATGATATGGTTTGAATATGTAAATTAAAAAAATTTAAGTTCTTAGACCATATTCATTCTTTGTCAGAAACCTATGCTGTGTCAAATATTTAATCACAATCCAAATTCAGTGCTGTATCAAGCTTGAATGTTATGTCCATACTTGCCCCAACTGTTCAGGGTTTCGACCTCTGCAGTCGTATCAAGCTGCGCCCAGCGGAGCATTTTATTAAATTTTCAAATGACTATAACTCGAAAACAGTAAGTGATAGACACACACGGTCTTCAGAAATGATCACAGGACAATAAAACAAATCAAATAAAATATAGGATGAGTCCCTATGGGTCACCCCCACCCACTTCAATTTGAGAATGTGCTTTTATCTTGTAAACAGTCGAGATCCCCACCCTTAAACCATATATATTCTTGTATGAGACAATAAAATAAATCAAATGAAATATTGGGGGAGTCCCTGGGGTCACCCCACCCCCTTCTGTTTGAGAACTTGTAAACGGTCGCTATCCCCACCCCTAAACCATAAATATTCTTGTATGGAACAATAAAACAAATCAAATGAAATATAAGGGAAGTCCAAGGGGGGTCAACCCACCCACTTATTTATACAACGTGTAAACGGTCGAGGTTCCCACCCCTAAACCATAAATATTCTTGTATGGGACAATTAAACAAATTAAATGAAATTTAGAGAAGTCCACGGGGGTCACCCCACCCCCTTATATATACAACGTGTAAACGGTCGAGGTTCACACCCCTAAACTATAAATATTTTTGTATGGGACAATTGATTGATTGATTGATTGTTGTTTGCTTTACGCCGCATTAGCACATAAAGGCTATATCGCGGCAATTGAACAAATCAAATGAAATATGAGGGAAGTCCACGGGGGTCAACCCACCCCCTTATATACAACGTGTAAACGGTCGAGGTTCCCAATTCTAAACCATATATATTCATGTATGGGACAATAAAACAAATTAAATGAAATATAGGGCGAGTCCCTGGGGGTCATCCCACCCCCTCCTGTTTGAGAACTTGTAAACGGTCGAGATCCCCACCCCTAAACCATAAATATTCTTGTATGGGATGATAAAACAAATCAAATTAAATATAGGGGAAGTCAATGGGGGTAACCCCCACCCCCTCCTTTTTGAGAACTTGTAAACGGTCGAGATCCCCACTCCTAAACCATATATATTCTTGTATGGGACAATAAAGCAAATCAAATGAAATAAAGGGCGAGTCCCCTGGGAGTCACCTCCCCCTTTTGAGAAATTTTAAACGGTCGAGATCCCCACCCTTAACCATATATATTCCTGTTCGTCATTTCAAGAAGAATTGAATGACATGTATTGGTTTAAGTTTTCTGTCTTATTTAAATTAAGAGATGTGGTAATTTTTGCGAATGAACCAGCTATTCAAAAGAGTTCAAATGAAAAAGCTATATAAACAATTATAGGTCACCATATGGTCGTCAAGAATAAGAAAAACTCATACCATATAGTAAGCTATAAAAGGCCCTGATATAAAAAAAAATGTGGAACAATTCAAACAAGAAAACTAACTGCTTAATTAGTAATAATACAATTTACTAAAAACAAATATGAAGGACCTAAATCAATAAAAAATACTAAAATCACAGGCCCTTTATATGGGATGGGCACAGAAAGAAATTAACAGAGCTTTCTGTATATTTAAAATCTACAGTTTAAGGCTGCAATAGAAATTATCAAAATTTTACATGACAAACATATGAACAAAAGAGATTTTTGATAATTGCTGATGAGACTATGGTTTCGGAAAAAAAACATGTGATTAAATACATATTTGAAATAATACACATCTACAACCCATTTGAAATAATAAACATCTACCGTTGCAAACTTTCCACAGGTGCTATGCAGCACTTTGATTTAATTTGAATTTATTGTCTTAAAGAAATGCACTACGAAATAACTGTGTTCTCGGGCCTAAGAAATGAATTCAGGAAATGTAGATTCTGTACTTTGGCAACTTCCCTGAATGGTTTGCTGGTTTCAATTAGTCAAACTCAATAAAAGTAAAGGATTTAAATCTTTATTTGAAAGAAATTCTGTTAAAATGTCCCATTTTGGCATTATACGGCGAAAGTAAGCATTTTATAGCAGTTTCCATTTTTATGCCTAAGAGGCATGCTGACTTTCTATCTGACAGCTTTTTATGCTTTGATATTTGTGTTTCTATGATTAATTCAAATTCTATTAACCATTTGTGAACTCTGAATGTAGAGAAAAGTAGATTATCACAGAAAAAAATGTGCAAAATGTGTTGTAATTAGGAAATGTTCGAACGGCCTGTTTGATGTATGTGAAATGTGAATAGCTTTGTACATAAAATTTGTAGTCCATCATAAATATTTCACTTAATCTGTAAAAAAATCACTTGACAATGATCTGTGCACCTTATTCATTTCATATACTACCTTTATTTTGTTTCTGTAGGATAGCATGTGTTTCAAATATATGCCAGTTAAGACTAACACTACATGCAAGTTTTCCATTGAAAAGTGAAAAAACTGCACAGACCATACTGTCTGCAAAAAAAGTTGAATGCAAGAGTCCTTTTGCAATTAGACTTCTTGTATCATGACATCTTAGCATAGAAATGAGCAAAAAGTAACAAATTTCCATTTCTAATAGCTTCTGTATGCATTTTTATATGTAAATATGTACTACGGCCTAAATTGACTCTAAATAATGTTCAGTCTTGCATGACCTAAGACCATTTTATACTCATGTGGTATGCTTTTTGTAACTTTTCTTTCCATTTAAAGTATATTTAGTATATATGGAAGAATAATTTATGGTTAAAAAACTTCAAAAACTTCAAATTGGTTGGAAAAAATGCATGTTTATGTAAGGCTCCCCTTAATTCGAAAATCTCAATTTTCAGGCACAGGCTCATATAAATTTGACTTTTGAATAATTGTAATAAATCTGAAAAATCAAATGAGTGTTCAGTTGCTTTTAATACCTAATATTTTATATCTAAGAGCATTTAAAAAACAAATTTTTGCAATATTTAAATTTTTAAAGCCCAAATCTTGATAGTTGAAATTATTTGATTTAAATGTCAAAATTAAACATCCAAATTTCAATATTAAAATAGCCATAGTTCCTATGATATATATCCTATGGCCATGAAACTTGGCCAACTATCTTATAATTCCATAAGCTTAGGTCATGCAACGTTTTATTAGAATTGGTCAAGTCTTTCTATTCTATTAGGTCCGAGGACACAGTTATCGTCCTTAGATTTTCGTTGTCTACAAATATAGTCCCTAGTGTGGACAGTGTATAACTTGCAAATTTTGTTCATACACTTTCCAAATTTATTTCTTCATATTTTATGCATGAAATATTAAGTAAAGGGATGAAATTACATATTAAAAAAATTTGGGTGCTGAATCTTTATGTTAAGTAGCGTTATGGTCCAGTTCAAAAAGGTCAAAAACTAGTATGTCTGAAGCTGTCTAACTGAATTTTAGACCCCCTTAACAAAGAAATGTCAATATTTTGAGTTAGAGCTGGTAGACTTTTCTATAATTTTGATATTATTTGTCCCAATAGTAGTACACTACACTGTAAAAATCTTTTTGAGATAGAGCAGGTGCGATTTTTTTAATTTGAATTTATTGTCTAAAAGAAATGCACTACGAAATAACTGTGTTCTTGGGCCAATTAATTGCATTAACTGTTCCAATTTTACTGCACCAGATGTGCATTTCAACAATGAATGTCTCTTCAGTAATGCTCGATGGCAAAATGTTGAGCTAATTACAGCTTTTGTTTAAAAGACAGATTTATCAGTCTCACATATGTCATATTTATATATCACCCGTCAGTTGTTTTCAACCTTTCATAAGGTAGACAACCTGGAAAATCCAAATCTTGTACACAAATGTGTTATGCAGTCGGCAGGCTTTTGAAAATATATTGATTTCAGCTATTTTTAACACTTCTATTCTTTAAGTGATGCTTAACGATTTCCAAATGTTCAAATAGCCTTTTATTGGAATTGATATTTTTTTTTTTCTCAACATTTTAAAAGTTGTCTCAGATATATGTATAAAGTCGTTAAAACATGTGTAGAATCATATTTCGAGGCTCTGTCCCCTAGGTCAAGACCAGTGACTTTGAATTAACAGGCAATTTTCAATGTTCTATATTTCGTTTGTTATTGATTAAGTTATAAAATGATAGAATTATCTCAATTGTACACACCAATGCCATACAGTACTTGCAACCTTAGGCGTTACTATTTTAGCAATCAATCTGCGGTCATCGATCAGTCGCCGATTATTTGACGTATCTGACGGATTCTATGGGTCATTGATCACCGATCATTCATTGATCAGTCAAACATACATCATTTATCATTCATCGATCAGTCAAGTTCCCATCAAACAGTAACGCCTAAGTTTGCAAGTACTGTACATATTGCTTTAAGAGTTTTCTCAACGTTAGATATCTATAGATTTTTTTCTCATGATTACTCATCGAAATCATGATTTCTTTATAGATTAAATAGTTCAGAGTGCAGAAATCCAATGAAGTTGATTTTTTTTAATTAAATTGTTTTACAGTCTTTGAAATCTTAATATAACTTAAACTTTTTGTAATCATTGCAATTGCGATGTATACAAATATGTAAATCCTTGTGCTTATAGCGCGAATCAAATGCTTTCTAAATATTCTTTTCATCAAATTGCTTCATTTGCGCAGCTTTCTAGATTGTTCAGATACATCAGACTTGTTTCAGAAAATCTGTCCCAAGTCAGGAGCCTCTAGCCTTTGTCAGTCTTGTATTATTTTTAATTTTAGTTTCTTGTGTACAATTTGGAGTTTAGTATGGCGTTCATTATCACTGAACTAGTATATATATTTGTTTAGGGGCCAGCTGGAGGACGCCTCCGGGTGCGGGAATTTCTCTCTGCATTGAAGACCTGTTGGTGACCTTCTGCTGTTGTCTGTTCTATGGTCGGGTTGTTGCCTCTTTGACACATTCCCCATTTCCATTCTCAATTTTATTAATCTGTCTAACATATATTCTGGAACATAGTTCTGACACATTCATAAAATTTAAGACATTTTCAGAAGTTCTGAATTTTTCTGAATCAAAATGTTTTCAAGATTCAGAAAAATGCAGCATAAATTCAGAATTGTCAGTCTCCATTCCAAAAGAGATATCACGTAATCACATGATTTATAACTAACTTAAAGGGTTTCAAATGTTTGGATATAAGCATTCCTGATGAAGGTTATTTATCATGCTAATCCAGAAGAGCACTTAGGACACACAAAATTGGTATTGTTATTTTCATATCGGGATTCAAAAAGATTCAGTCATATTTTTCTTGTATTAGACAATTTCTAAAAGAATTTAGATATCTTCAGACAAATTGGGACTGTACTCAGAACTGTTTCTTCCATGATGGAACAATGTACTTACTTTTTACATTTTACCTCTTAAAAGAGGGGCGAAAGATACCAGAGGGACAGTCAAACTCATAGATCGAAAATAAACTGACAATGCCATGGCTAAAAAAGAAAGAAACAAACAGACAAATAATAGTACACAAGACACATCATAGAAAACTAAAGACTAAGCAACACAAACCCCACCAAAATGACACCATTTTTTTCTTAAATAATTTCTTTCACTATGATTTTAATAAAACAGTAAAATACTTGGTCTGTATCTTTATTAAAAGGTGAATAATTTACATATTAGTTACTAGTAGTTGTTTACATATTAAATATTTCCCCTATCCAAGCAGTTTCTTAATTAGCGTTTATCATGTTTTTTTACTGTTAATGAGAGATCAGGTTTGTATTATGCATTGACTCATTGGGAGGTCTGACAGACAGGAGTTTTTTGTTCATGCTTATTATAGGTCAAAACTGTTTTCAATTGATCAATTATTAACAGATTATTGATTGACAGTGTTCATTATAAATTGTAAAAATTTCGCCAATTAAAGCCAAACAAACTAGCTAGATTATATTAAAAACATTATTTGTATGTGAATTTCATATCTTTCCTCTATTGCTGTTATTTGATAGAATTTGAAAGGGTTGAACTGTGACCTTTAGCTGATTATTTACTTGTCTATTGGTTTGTGGTGAATTGTTGTCTCAATATCTATCATAACACATCCGCTCATTTGTTTTTAGCTCACCTGACCTGAAAGGTCAAGTGAGCTTTTCTCATCACTTTGCGTCCGTCGTCCGTCGTCCGTAAACTTTTACAAAAATCTTCTCCTCTGAAACTACTGGGCCAATTTTGACCAAACTTGGCCACAATCATCATTGGGGTATCTAGTTTGAAAAATGTGTCCGATGACCCCGCCAACCAACCAAGATGGCCGCCATGGCTAAAAATAGAACATAGGGGTAAAATGTAGATTTTGGCTTATATCTCTGAAACCAAAGCATTTAGAGCAAATCTGACATAGGGTAAAATTGTTTATCAGGTCAAGATCTATCTGCCCTGAAATTTTCAGATGAATCGGACAACCCGTTGTTGGGTTGCTGCCCCTGAATTGGTAATTTTAAGGAAATTTTGCCGTTTTTGGTTATTATCTTGAATATTATTATAGATAGAGATAAACTGTAAACACCAATAATGTTCAGCAAAGTATGATCTACAAATAAGTTAACTTGACCAAAATGGTCAGTTGACCCCTTAAGGAGTTATTGCCCTTTATAGTCAATTTTTAACCATTTTTCGTAAATTTTTGTAATTTTTTACAAAAATCTTCTCCTCTGAAACTACTAAGACAAATTTAACCAAAATTGTCCACAATCATCATTAGGGTATCTAGTTTAAAAAATGTGTCCGATGACCCTGCCCGCAAACCAAGATGGCCGACATGGCAAAAAAATAATACATAGGGTAAAATGCAGTTTTTGGCTCATATCTCTGAAACCAAAGCATTTAGAGCAAATCTGATGGTATAAAATTGTTCATTAGGTCAAGATCTATCTGCCCTGAAATTTTCAGACCAATCAGGCAACATGTTGTTGGGTTGCTGCCCCTGAATTGGTAATTTTAAGAAAAGTTTGCAGCTTTTGGTTATTATCTTGAATATTCTTATAGATAGAGATAAACTGTAAACAGCAATAATGTACAGCAAAGTTAGATCTACAAATAAGTCAACATGACCAAAATTGTCAATTGACCCCTTAAGGAGTTATTGCCCTTTATAGTCAATTTTTTACAATTTTCATAAATTTTGTAAATTTTTGTAAATTTTTACAAAATATTTTCCACTGTAACTACTGGGCCAAGTTCATTATAGATAGAGATAATAGTAAGGAGCAAGAATGTTCAGTAAAGTAAGATCTACAAACACATCACCATCACCAAAACACAATTTTGTCATGAATCCATCTGTGTCCATTGTTTAATATGCACATAGACCAAGGTGAGCGACACAGGCTCTTTAGAGCCTCTAGTCTGTTATAGAGAATGTGTAGAGCTTTAACAAGGGTGATTTATTTTCATACCTAAAATGTCACATTAATATATTCCTAAAATTGCTTAAGTAATGCCATATACATAAAATAAAATGTATAAGATGGTATCATGAATCTGTCTCCCTTAAAATAGTAACAGTACAATTATTACATGTTCTAATAACATTGCAATGCTGGTGAAAGTAAAGACAGCTTGTAATGTGTTTTTCATTATTCTGTTCAACTACAAATAACTTGCACATCTTTATGAGACTTAAATAAATGGTGATTGAAATCAGTATTCTATTTCTTTGTAGATTTATTCCAGTTATGGATGGACTCAATCCATTGCTACAGTAGACTGGAAGAGGACAAAAGTAATTCTGCTGACAGCAAGACATCAGATGATCTTGATCCACCAGTAGTTATTGTTGGTACTTGGAAAGATGCTGTGACCTCTGATGTAGAAGAGGTATTGAAAATCTACAAATGTTTATGGGTTGCAAGCACACTTCTACTGTTCTTTCATTTTTGTACAGGACCATCATGCTTTACTGATAGTGTAATCTAATCAGATCAACATTTTGACCATATCTAATGCATACCTGTCAATTTATTTGATAATAAGAAAAAAATAATGGTTTGTCCTGTAGTAGTTTGAAAATAAATAAACCGACTTAAAATGTATTGAAAATAAATAACTCGGCAGGTCTTTTAAGCTATTTTATAAATGCTATTCTAAAGTATGAGATGGCACCAGATTCTTCCAAATTTTGTTTTTTTCCATTTTTATTTAGGGAAAATCTTCCCAAATCTTTAAATAATATAATGTATAAATATTAATTTACTTGAATTAAATGTCTGAAAATGGGTTTCATTTAACTTAGGTATATTGTCTCAGGAACATTTACTTTATTCTCTGAGTGTTGCTTTCCATTTGTAATTTAGTAAAAAAAAATTTAACTTGACTTTTATTTTTTTTAAGCATTTTTTATCTAAAAAAAAATAGCAGCCACATCCATAAAACTATATGTGAACTACATGTTTTTGCTTTATCCTACATATTGGTCTTTTGGTGTCCCTAAAAACTAAAAGTCTTACACTGAAACTATATATTTTGCCTTGAGACCAAAATATTGTCAAAAAATAATTAAAACAGAACTTGCAATTTTGATCAAGAAAGATTCTGGGAAATGCATGATTTGCATACATTTTTCTACAGCTTCTTCAGGCCTTCAGCGGCCCCAAAACCCTGCGCACGAAATTTGTTTAATTTTTTTTTAATATACTTTATATTACTTTTAAAACAGGCTAGTGCCATTGTTTTACATGTATGTTAAATTATTGAGAGAAAAAAATATATGATTTATTTATAATTTATTTATACATTTATGAAAATGGAATTACAAAATAAAAAATACCTGAATATATAAAGAAAACACTGATAAACTATATACCTAAGTTGGAACAGACTATATAATTGTATGCTCATTAAACCTTTTGTCTTTTTTGTTTTCTTTACTAATAAATAATTGGTGTAATTAAAAGTGGGCAAACCAGGAGTAAACCGACACAAAAGCTGTCAAGTGAAGCCATGCACTTAATGGGTCATTGTTGATAAATATTCCAAATCAACTTCACAAATAATACATGATGGTCTTGAAGTATAAATTCTGCGTACTGACGCTGTTTATCATCTTAATAACGTGTTAAAGTGTTCTTTTTTTTGTCTTTATTAATATTACTTTTACTGTTTGGTCTGTTTTTGGTGATATATATATGTGACGTGGCTCTGTACTTATGCATCCCATCATTGTGTTGTTTGTATTATTTTTCATTTTTACTTGTGTGCTTTGTCCGTGTGACTTTTTATGTTTCTTTGATACATATGACGTGTCTCTGTACTTTAAACATCCCGCCATTGTGTTATTGTTCTATTATAATTTTTGCATACTTTGAACGACAAAATTAATTTATATCTCCACCTGTGTGACGTTTACATTCTGACGTGAAACACGCGATTCTAAACCAGAGTTAATGTTAAAATTACGATTCGGTCCCAGTGCTTAAAATCCCTCAATCCTTTATGGGTTGGTTTAGCATACATAAATAATATACAAAAATAAGTAAGCAATGAACGAGGTTGTTAAATGTGATATATGATTTTTTTGTGCTTCTTTGTTAAATATTTGTTTGTTTTTGTTGTGATTAAGATTGTATCACGGTGTTGACTGCTGTACCCCTATTTTGACATTTTTACCTATTATGTCTGTTTTATTCACGCATCGTTGTCAATATAATGAAATTTGATGCGACTGTCATACAAGTGAGAGGTTTAGCGCTTTAAAACCGGGTTCAATCCACCATTTTCTACATAAGAAAATGCCTGTACCAAGTCAGGAATATGACAGTTGTTGTCCATTCGTTTGATGTGTTTGTGCTTTTGATTTTGCCATTTGATTAGGGACTTTCCATTTTGAATTTTCCTCAGAGTTCAGTATTTTTGTGATTTAACTTTTCACTTAATTTGACAGTTAACACAGCTATTTGAACTGTTAAACTGTTAACTATTAAAGTGTTATCAGGAATAGCAAATCCTTTATCACATTTTAAAAAAGTTGTGTTCTTACGATAATTTATTTAATATAATATAGTTATATGATTATCATATATGTTTATATAGCTTTAGTATTAACTTCATGTTTTCAAATATGTTCAAAGCATTCATATATTTGTAAAGACCAAACAAACAAACAAGCATATTTTTTTTGTAGATTGACGATGCATGCCGAGAAAACATTTTTAAGTTTACGAAGAATATGTCAGAAGATGAACTAAAACATATAAGGCAAGAATACTTCATTTCCAATACAGAAGATGACCCCAGTGTATTCCAGCAAATCCGAGAAGACATCCTCAACTTAGCCAGAAAAATAAAAACGTGGAACAAAGTTTACCCTTTAAAATTTATTCAGCTGGAAAAACGACTTCAAGAGAAAAAGAAGGAGTTACCAATTATTTCCTTTCATGAAATTAAGCACATCTCTACTAATACACCTAATCCACTAAATGATGAGGAACTCAGATTGTTCCTGGAATTTCACCATGAGATCAGAGCTTTAGTTTATTTCAAAGATCTGTCTTCTTATATTATTTTAGACACACAGTGGTTGTCTGATGCTTTTAAATGTATAGTCACAGCTAAGAAATTTAGAGCTTTTAGTACTAGAAATAGAACAAAATGGGATGAATTGTATAGCAGAGGCAAATTACATAGTGAAGTTTTAGACGACATATTTAGAAAAAGTGAAAACATTTTTGCCAAACACAAGGATCACATCCTGAACGTAATGGAGAAATTTGATATCATTATACGTCCTAACATATCAGAAACTCAAAGAGACGCTGGTGATGACAAACCTCTCTATTATGTACCTTGTATGATTAAATCAGAACCCGAGTGTGATGTATACGAAATGTTTAATGTTACAGAAAACACATGTAATAAGTCAACCTGGTTATGTTATAAGTTTAGGTTTCTTCCACCTCATTTAATGAATCATTTAATTGCGTCACTGTGCAGGAAATATAAAGTTGCAGAAGTTGTCACGAAGGAACAAAAAAGACAAATTGCTCTCTTCAGAGGTTCAGCTGTCTTTGAGTTACAGAAAACGACAAAATTAGCAAAATTGCATATAATGAAATGTCCGAATTGGATTCAAATTCAGGTTTGGCAATTTGAGAAAGGACGTCAAGGAGGTATGTACAAATACATTGACGACTTTGTGACAGAGGAAATTGTCAAGATAATAAGCACAAGATTTAAGATGTCTAATGTGAAATTTGAGAAAAAGTGGGAATGTGGCCAAACAAGACCAGAGTCTGTAACAGGATCGTTTGACTGTCGTGAAGATCAGGATACAAAATATTATTGTGAGACATGTAAAATTGCACATGAGTTCACAGGTGAATGGTCAGATCTACAATATAGAACAGTTGATGTAAGTAAAAGATTTATCAATGTTTGGTGAGTTTTACAAGGAAAATTTGTAATAAGATGGTGCATTGGTTAACCTCTTTTAGTCCTTCCATTAATCCATCCAATAAAAGTTTTCCTAGCTTTTCTCAGGCACTAACGTTAAGAGAAATTTACATCTTAATAGCTATTTGTTGATTTAAACAATGTTTCACTTTCACATTAATTGTTTATCGTGATCCAGTTTGATATAAACATATATTTTTACACATTTCAACCATATATTATGTATATGACACATGTTTTTCTCTCTTTCTAAAAAGTGTCAATTAGAGTTCCATGAAATTTGCTATACCGCGTGATACCTTTTCAAATATGATACTCATCAACTCTGTCTCTGTATTTACCAAATACTTATCTATTGATATGAAAATAGTAAGAAAAAGCTCACAGTTCAACTTGTCCATGTTGTTTCCTCCAGAAAACAGAAGCAAGACATGTATTTTACTTCAGAATCAGGCAGCAGTGATGTCCTCAACCTCCTTTTCTTAGTTCGGATGGTCTAAAGACCAAACAAAGAACTGGCAAGAGATAAACTGAATATTTCAGAAACTAACTGTGAAAACTTAACTATAATCTGCTTGTAGAAATACAAGATGCTCTATCTATGCAATCATTGTAATAACATGTAAGTTGTAATATGTTTCCATAATGATTCATACATTTAAGTAGAGTGCTGTTTTAATTATATATAAGGTAAGGGGGATCATCTGATAGTGGTACATTTTATTTTCTAAATTATTGTAGTTGTTACAGAGTTCTGCAAACGTTCCAATATCTAATCCTTACACAGAAAGCTCAAGTCAAATCCAAACTACGGTTCAATCCACCAAGGTAAAAAGCTACTATTTTATAGCATGGAAGCTATCCTTATGTTGATATTTGTATAACTAGCAGTAAGTATTATGTTGATATTTGTATAACTAGCAGTAAGTATTATGTTGATATTTGTATAACTAGCAGTAAGTATTATGTTATATATACATGATGATGTAAGTTAGATTAATTATTACTTGTATTACTTCAGACCTAATTTCTGACAAAATTATACATTCGTCAAATCGAGCAACTTTTATTTAGCATGTTTAGATTGACAAGAAATAATATGAAATATTTCTTGCTGTTGAAATGCAAACTATTCAGACAGTGGATTCAAGATAATCCAAACTGAGCATTTTAGCTAATCTGACAATGTGCAAACTATTCAGACAGTGAATTCAAGATAATCCAAACTGAGCATTTAAGCTAATCTGACAAAGTGCAAACTATTCAGACAGTGAATTCAAGATAATTCAAACTGAGCATTTAAGCTAATCTGACAATGTGCAAACTATTCAGACAGTGGATTCAAGATAATCCAAACTGAGCATTTTAGCTAATCTGACAATGTGCAAACTATTCAGACAGTGAATTCAAGATAATCCAAACTGAGCATTTAAGCTAATCTGACAATGTGCAAACTATTCAGACAGTGAATTCAAGATAATCCAAACTGAGCATTTAAGCTAATCTGACAATGTGCAAACTATTCAGACAGTGAATTCAAGATAATCCAAACTGAGCATTTTTGCTAATCTGACAATGTGCAAACTATTCAGACAGTGGATTCAAGATAATCCAAACTGAGCATTTTAGCTAATCTGACAATGTGCAAACTATTCAGACAGTGAATTCAAGATAATCCAAACTGAGCATTTAAGCTAATCTGACAATGTGCAAACTATTCAGACAGTGAATTCAAGATAATCCAAACTGAGCATTTTAGCTAATCTGACAATGTGCAAACTATTCAGACAGTGGATTCAAGATAATCCAAACTGAGCATTTTAGCTAATCTGACAATGTAAGCTATTGCTATGGTTTTGCGTCTTTTTCCCTCGTTCTGAATGTAAAAAAGATTTTCCTCTTTTTAAAGAAAAATGTGCGGCCAAAATGAACCAAACTCCAATCATTATCTTTACTTATAAATTGATTTACCTTTTCAGTTAAAATCTATAAGGAGTCTGGGGTTTAAATTTTCAATGACGGGCTTGTTTGAAACTTAAGCAGAGGACTTTTCATCATAAAGGTAGCACATCTCTGAAGAAAAATGTAGCTTTTTTCAATTTACCCATTTTACTTATACTTGTATACAGCCAAAGAATTTAGACATAATTGCATGCTTGAATTGGTTGATTATTCAACCTATGTTTATCAAAATGGAATGAAAGAAAATGATAGGTGCCACCCTCATTGACACATTTTCATGATGGTTACCAATATGTTCTATTGATAATGAATGACATGCTTTTATATTTGAAGGTACGTGTCCGGGTCCAAGCTGGTGAGAGAGTATTTTCAAATGCCAATGAAGGGGCAACAGGAACAGCCAGTTTGGCAGGGGTGTGTAACACTACTATGTATTTTCATGCCATATTCAGTTCCCAAAAATGAAAATGCATAAATTGGGAGATGTTCAGTCTTACGTTCGTTCAGTTGGTTGAGAGAGTATAACGTTTGAATCGTCAAGTTATATGGAATTCCCCTTTTTTTAATTTACCCTGGAGTTTGGTATTTTTGTTATACTTTTATTTTAATAAACATAAAGGAAACAAAAACAAACAGCTTTACTGATCAAAATTATGTATTAATATACATGATATACGTAATGTTTAACGAGTAGTATGTAAACTTTCATCAGTTGGATGGATAAACATACACAAACGGCTAGTATTTACGTGAAGTGAGTAGTGTGTGTGCGGAATTGGACTAAATCTTTCGTCGGGTTGATAATCATACACAGACAGCTTAACTGAACTATATTGATATGTGAGGTGAGAATTATGTGTTCAGCATTAGATGTAATTTTCATCGAGTCGATAAACATACACAAACAGCTTCGAATAGTAATAGAAATGTTAGAAATTTTTTTACAATGGACAACTGAGAGTCAAGAGTCTACACCAGAGATATCTAAATAAGGGATCGTCTCAAACGTGTTAATTTATTTATTGATTTACTCCGCATAACAATAGTTTTTGAACATAACCTCCAGTAGATTAAGTAAAACGTTCGAGTGAAGTCTTTCCACCTCTTCTATCACTAAGTTGGTTGATTGGTTGGTTGAAAAAAAATATTTGCATAACATCAGTTACTTTTTCATTTAGATTGGTTGGTGTGGATTGTTGGTAGATAGCTTAGTTGATTGACTGACATTTTACTTCATGTCATATTTGACGGAAATTGCATTCATTAATCGATTTGGCTTGGTTCGTTTGCTTATATGAATGAATATTAGTAATTTATTGATCGACATTTTCATAACGTACAGAAGCGCATATTGTATATTGATTGATGGATTGATTGTTTCTATGATGTCCAGTAACAAATACTTTACTTTTATACATTACCCACAGAATGATAAAAAAAATCCTCCAAATAAAGAACCAATTTATAATTTTAGAAAAAAAATACATGGGGTTTGGTTCCAAGGAACATACAAAAAAGGTAGGGGCTGGCTCTCATTAAATGGAAGGTTTTCATGTCAGTGCAACATGTTTATTTGTACCTAAATCATGGTACTTCTTGGAATATTTAAGGATTTATCACCCTTCTACTTTAAAGTATCCTTGAATTTAATAAATTCCAATTGGAACTTTCAAGGATTGACACCTTCCTCAAAAATATCCTTGAATCGTCCTTTATGAATTTCCCTTTCTCTAGCTATATATATAGTGGTCCTCGAAATTCATGTTTTATTAATTTGTTGTGTATGAATTTGGTTTTCTTGCAATCAAATTTTGACCTTGGACTTAAAGTTTTTGTTTTTGTTGTTTTACGTGTCTATTTGAATCTTAAAATTCCATCGTATTTTCTTTTTCACATGTCCCAGGAGAGTCGTCCCACTGTATTTAATCGTGGAAGTAGTATCTATTTTGTTTCTCTTTTTTTAGAAGGGGGAGATTTAACCTGTTTCTCTGAGTAAATAAAATTGAGAATGGAAATGGGGAATGTGTCAAAGAGACAACAACCCGACCATAGAACAGACAACAGCAGAAGGTCATCAAGCATGTTCGTTAAATATTCGTCACTTGACGTCACACAAACAATCAATGAATGATCATGAACATTTTATCAACCAAGCAAGCAAGCAATCAAATTATAATGATGTTTTAATTTAAAAATATAGGAATGACTTTTATTTACAATTGTTTTTCTAAAAAAATATTAGCTACAACAATAATTATGTACATCAATACCTAAAAATTAAATATGATGCAGTTCTACGTTATGGCCTCAAAACTTTTCATAGACTGTCAAAATAATAAAAAAATATCTTGGTTCACTTTTGTTGTTTTTCTAATAACTGTAACGTTATGTACATGACGTCAAAATTAAGTGCTTTCAATTAAAAGACAAAAATGATAGAACATTCAGTATAATAAATTAAATAACATATAGCTGAGCTCGCATCGTTTGACAATGTTTTCTCTGGGTAAAAATCTGCTCTATCACTCCCTCAGCTATGTGTTATTTATATATTGTTTGTTACACATTTTAGAATAAAAAAAATTCCTTAAATGCAATCAGTATGTTTCAAAAGAGACTGTTCTATATGGCTCCTATTTGTGGCTCAAATTTCAAATAAGGATGTATTAACCAATATCACAATGAATCATAGCTAAAACAATAACGATATGAAATAGGTCATTTAGATTATTTCTTGGTGTCACAAATAGTACAAAATTCAATACACCTTATCGCTATTTGGAAATCTGTCCTGGTTGACCCGATAACCTTCCCTGCTTGAACTATTGACGTCATACAACAATTACTTTTTCATTGTGGCGTCAGATAGTTTGTATTATGATGTCAAAATTTTACGGGAACTTTTGTGATGTCCAGTAATGGCAGACAAATAGCGATAAGGTGTATGTTAAAGGGCATATTTTCATTGCATTGGTTTTTAGGAACGTAAACGTAGAGCGCATTGGTCAACAAAAAAGTTTTATGAACATAATGTTTATTTGTTATTACAATAAACATATTTGACTCGAATATATAGTTTGTCGAATCCTGCTATCTTTGTTTCATATACCGGTACCTCAATTTGATAGAAATCAAAACAATTTGGTCACATTCAACAGAAATCTCTATGGCAAATTAGAGGATGTCAACGCTTGATAAGAAAAAGTTGACAAGAATAGTTCTATATCTCTTTCGTACATGTTTTTTAATCAACATCATGAACATGAAATATGTTGATCATAAAACAATGGACCCAATGTTCATAGTCAAATGAGGTCTGTAACGACCTTACTCCTTTCATAGTCATCATACTGCTATGCATTAGTTATTTGAAACAAACTTTTTATCATGTTAAAGACCAGATTCTTCCAATGTTTGGTAAATAATTATAATACATTTGTGATCCAGTTGAAACAGTATGGTAGATATTTATTTAAATACAAATATATTTAGTTAACTTTGTTTCATTTACATTGATAAAAAAAAAAAAAAAAAGATTTCACACAACACACGTTTTTTCATCTGCTTATGGTTAAAGGAAAAAATATTGTTGAAATCTTTCTAAACAAGATGTTCCTCATAAAGTTTTAAACAGCATTCCTGCATTTTGGTTGTGCGAAAAAAATCCAGTTGAGCAAGAGTTATACACAATTACTTTTAGATGCAAGGTACCATCATCATTGATTTTACTTTTAATTTGTTTTTTTTATCTTGGAAAAATTTCTACGAGTACTTGACCAAATTAACTGATAATTGATTCAACCAAAACTTATGTAAGCCTTATTATATATTATCTTCTTCATATTTTACATTACAATACCTTACTTTTATCTTCTTTTCAGTTTACAAATGAGGAAATTAATTTTGCAAAAATGGGGATGATTGCTTTGAATATTCTTGCTGATGTTTTATATGACCTTTTAAAACCAGATAAACCAAATCTACGTCCAAGGAGCGATTCTGATATAACATACTTATACAGTGAGCACAGGAAACTTAATAAACATATCCCAACTAATGGATGGGGAGGGAAATGGCAAGTTGATCAAATTACAGGCATAGTTACTGGAGATGATATTGAGCGCATAAGACTTACAAGGAATGAACTACAACACTCTAGGACATTTAAACTTGAAGAAACACGTTTTAATGAGTTGCGTATTATAATATGTGACCTTTTAAAACGGTTAGACCACTATAACAAACCACAAAAGCTGTATACACATGAGCTTAAGGATATTTTGGCTAAAACTTTTTCAGATGAGGATGTGAACTCAGTTAAAAATGAAATATTGGGTAAATATGCTTTAAACAGTTTGAAGTTGTGCTCAAAGTTTATAAGGGTTTTGTCCAGACTAAAGTATGAGTGTGCAGACTTTATAAGTATTATCTAATAAAACACTTAATTTTATGTCTTTCGAATATGAATATATTTCGGGTAAAGAGGAGGTTCCATTGAATGATAGTCGCCACAGCTTCTTTTTCTACTGGTCCAGTAAAAAGGGGTATTTCTGTAAAACTTCAATTTTTTAAAGTAAAATTTTAAATAGTAGCGTATTTTATCATTGGATTTGTGAATTATTTTATTTATTTTCAGAAATGACTGTTGAGGTAGAAATTGAACAACAAATCAATGTTCTAACGCAATAGAGAAATAAAGTTGTTCTCATCATTTGTATGGCAAACAGTTATTTTTGTAGTTGATGAGAAATACACATATAACCATAGAAACAGATTTGTAGAAGACGTTGTGCATAGAAAGCGACCATCTTTATATTTGATAGCAATGTAATGCTACCGATAAAAGTCAGACTACATTTTTCTATTCATACAATCATGTAGAGTAATTCTCCCGAATTATACTTGTCACTGTTGGAGCATGATCTGCATACCTTTTCGGAGCACCTGTGGGGTTTTTGGTGCTCAATCTTTAGTTTTCAATATTGTGTTTTGTATACAGTCCTTGGATGGTGTAAACTTTCCACTGACACCATACACCATTACACCATTCACCATACACCATTA